GTGGGCCAGTGGACGACGAGCTGTCTATCCTTAGAGAGAGGGTCCGCGTCCTTGAGGCGGAGCAGGGGTCGACTCAGGTGCAGAACACCGCACGACGGCCTTCAAGGCGAAAAGCCGATTTGTCATGGCTCAGGACAGAGGGCACACGTGCACCGTCAGGTGTTGTTGTGCCCCACGATCGTCGCACGCTGCAGACGAGGTTGGATAGTTGGGCGAAGGGAGGTCTGCAGGAGCAATATGAGAGGTTGTGGGCCAGAGCCTTGTACAGGGCTGGGGTGCCATTCACATTCATACAGCTCGAGACTACGTAAGAGCTGCATGACTTCATGGTATCATTGATGAGGGTCACGATTGGGCCTGCTTTGGTCCTCCCCTTATACACTGACATGCGCACCCGCCTCCTCGACGAGATTTATCATGAGATARCAGAGAGGGTCGCTCCGAAGAAGGCAAAGTGGAAGTTGACAGGGTGCACGATGATGACGGACGGGGCAACGACAAGGTCGAACAAGCCTATCGTCAACTTCATCGCAGCAGGCGAGGACGGACCCGTGTTGATCAGTACCGTTGACATGTCGRAGAGGGACAAGACTGGAGTGGCACTGGCAGAGTTGTGGGAGGAGGTCATCCGCRATATTAACGTTAAGCATGTGAATGCTTATTGCACTGACAACGCTTATGCAAATAAGGTGGCTGCACAGCGGTTGCAAGACCATCCGGACAGAGTCATATCCCGGATCCCTTGGCTCCCCAGTGCAGCTCATTGCTTGAGTCTTCTCYTGCGCGACATCACGCGTTTCTCGTGGGTGTGGCCGATCTTGAATAACACACGCAAGGTTRTGATGTTCTTCAAGAACATTCACAAGGCCCTCTCGTATCATCGGTCCTTCAAGGAGCAGGGACAGCTGGAGYTGATCCGGCCATGTGACACACGGTTCRGGTCAGCATATCAGATGGTAGAGCGACTTACCGATCATGAGAGGGTATTGCAGATGGTCGYCGTGGGCAGTGTRAGATGGCGGAGCACCCTCTGGAGGGGGAAGGCGGGGCAGGATGAGCGCCCTGTTCGACAGCTTCTGTTGTCGGCGTCATTTTGGGATTGTGCGCACCGCGTGSARGAGGTCATGAGGCCAGCTTATAGCCTGTTGCGTTCCATGGACAGAGACGGTTCCTCCCCCMCCACCCTTTGGGCGTTTGTTGACAGTATTGCAACRCGTGTGCGCGACATGGGCCTACCACAGGCAGACGAGGCAGAGATTATGGAGAGGGTTGACTACCGTTGCGGCATGATGCGCCAGCCGGCGCATGCGCTCGCATACCTTGTTGACCCGCGACGGCGTGATGTGAGTCTCCTCGCTGACACTGACAGCGCATTGGTGCAGAGTGCACTACACCATTTGGCTACGTACGCGGATGGTGGAGAGGGGTCCGAGGAGCATACTACGATGTGGTACGGCTTGTACTTGTTCCAACATGATGATCCCCATGCAGACCCTAGGCCCAAATGGTGGACAGACCCCGTTGCTATCGCGCAGACGAAGCACGGGGTGCACCCCGCGTGGTGGTGGTATTTGCATGGTGGCGACTTCCCGCGGCTGCAGGAAGTCGCCATCAAGGTGCTCTCTATGTGGTCCACTGCCTCTCCATGTGAGAGGAATTGGGCCACACATGACTTCATTCACACGAAGAGGCGCAACAGACTCTCGAGTGATAGTCTGCGGAAGCTCGTGTTCATTCATTGGAACATGTAGCTTCTGCGAGCGAGGTCGACTTCCCGGAAGGGGTATGTGGATGTTTGGGAGGATTTGGTGGAGGAGCCGCCGAAGCCAGTGGTTAGCGATCCTTCAGAGGAGGTGTACGCCGAGGGCATGACGATCCCTGAGGAGGTGGAGGCAGACTTGCGCAGCCGGCGCAAGGAGGGGGGTGATCGTGCCAGTGCGCGCCTGTTGCAGGCGCGAGATGATGACGATGTGGAGGCTGAGGATGCCATTTACGAGGCGGATGACGTGTGGGCGGGGAAGGACATGATTGAGGAGATTGCAGCCGCGGGGAAGGGGAAGGAGAAGGTGCACGATGACCCACTCGTGTCTCGTGTTTGGGACAGGTGGGGGAGCCTTGAGGCTGTGGAGGACCTCGACGGGTTCCTGCACGGCTCAAGACACACCCTTCATATCATGCAGGACATTGAGGAGTGTCGCAGGCCGGAGGGGGGGAGCGGACGGGTTGATGAGGGTCATCATGTGAACGCAGGGCCTCTTGATGATGGGGCAGGCGGACGGCCTTCAGAGGGACCTATCCCAGGGAGTGTAGTAGAGGAGCAACGTCCCGATGTTGGGGAGTTGGAGGCATCTCGTGGCAAGGAGGACCTGTGTCCCGATGTGGAGGAGCAGGAGGCAGCTGCCATGGAGGCAACTCCCGACATGGAGGAGGAGGAGGCAGCTGCCATGAGCCATGGGCAGCCGTGTCTCAGTCGGGAGGAGATGGGGACAGGTCACACCGAGCATGCCTCCCCCGCACCCACCATCTCCAAGGTGGCCCCTGTTATCGGGGAGGGCGTGAGAGTGTGTGTGAAAAAGCCTCCCCATCACGAATCAGATAGGTGAAACCTATTCAATCCACCTACGACCACCACCAGCATGGCTAATTTCAGCACGAATCGAAGCTCTTCCAGGCCTCGTGCTCCCGTCAGGTTAGGTTACAAAGTTGCACCACCTTACTCTAGCATCGGCCAGCATTGCTCTAGTTACGACCCGCGATGACAACTGGGACTGCCCCTGCAAACAGCCCCCCAGAGCTCTTTACCAGGCCTCACGCCCCCACTAAGCTACGTCACAGAGTTGCGCCACCTGGCTCCGGCTCCGGCCAGCGTTGCTCCAGCATCGGTCTTCGAGGGCCACCGACTTTTCAACCACCCCTCGCAGGATCACAGATGGCTTGCCAGATAAAGCCTATTCCTACAACCTCCCCGAGAGGCAACCAAATGGAAAGCTATAGTAAACTGGATGATAGATTTCTTCAAGAGAGATCGCCCCTCCCTCCCCCGACCCTTTCCCCCTCAGCCCTACACTGCCTCCGCCGAGGAGAGTCACCCACTCTCCCTCGGCCCCAATATAGGACCAATCCTCTCCCCCCTTTCCCCAGGAGCACGCAGTTCCCACCTAAAGCATGCCCCCCCGACCCTTGCCCATTTCCGCCTCGGCAGGGACTGATGTTGACCCACACACAGTCCCTGCCCCAGAATAAGGCAACCCCCTACTCCGCCCCTACCCTCTTTGAGAC